GGATGGATGGATGGATGGATGGATGGATGGATGGATGGATGGATGGATGGATGGATGGCTCTCTCCCTCTCTCCAGGAGGCTTTTTGGGTCACAGGGCAGCTCCAAGCCTAATGCATCCTGGAGTTCTGGCATTTTCCACTCTTCACTGCAAGATGAACGACTCCCATACTTCTGCAGGTCTCTGAAAGTCCTTCAGTGTGCTGGAAAAGCCCCCGAAGGAGGGAAGCTGGGCTGAGACTTCTGCAGGATCACCGTGGGTGGCAGCTAGGGTGAAGTTCTGTAAGTTGGGAGGGGTGTGCTGCCTGGGCACCCACTCATCGTTACTTCGCAAAGGGCTGCAGGGACACCTGGTGGCACCTTCCAAAGTAGCATTTTATGAGTACACGAGATGCTGAAAAACACACTGAAGGGTGCACAGTTGGACTTGTGGGGATGCTGGGGCTGAATCCTGTAGGATCATCTCAGTGGTCAGCCCCCAGCTGGGGCAGAAGAGTGAGTTCTGACAGCTCCCGTTTGCCATGTGGGATATGGGACACCCACATTCCACACAGTGGGGCCAAGGGGAGGCTCTGGGGCAGCACTCAATGTCCCCAAATGTGCTGGGTGGGAGTCAGGGCTGGGCCTTTCCAGCTAAGAGTGGCTGCATGGGGGCCTGATCCCACTGGGTGCTATGGGTATAGTGTAGGGCTCAGCAAGCAGCAGCTGGAGGGATGGACATGCACATGTACTCAGGTCCTGAACGTTGTTCCCATCCCTGTGCCACTCTGTCTAATGAAGTTTTATGTTCCCCATTGGAACCCGGTGCTCAATGGCACAATGGAGCTGAGCCAGGGAATGTCTAAGGCATTCTGTGACATCAGGCAGAATGGTGGCACCAGGCAGTGAGCTTAGTGACAGGTGCACACTGCCTGAGTATGCTTGAGGCTATCAGGGTAATCAATTGACCACTGGGTAAGCCAGTGGTGGGGTGGCTGGAAAGGGGTGACCTGGATGCCAGCAGAGCCCTGAAGTGCCTCTGTTCACACCAGGGTCAGCCAAGGAGGGGATGGAGCCCCACAAGCCACTGAAGTCTGACAGCCTTGTAGCCACCAAGCAGCAGCAGCCACTCCAAGATGGCTTGGAGGAAGCTACCAGCTCCAGAGATGTGGTGGCCCTCAAGAAGTCCTCCACACCAAGCAGGACCTCTGTGTCCAGTAGAGCTTCCAAATCCAGCAGGACCTCTGTGTCCAGCAGGATTTCTGTATCCAGCAGAACTTCCACATCCAGCAGGACCTCCATAGCTAGCAGGGCCTTCAAGTAAGTGAGGGGATGGATGGAGCCTGTGCCTGTCCAAGTTATAGGGCTCCTTCACGCTCCCTGATGGGCTGGGAAGGGTGACAGAATGGTGCCCATCTGGCAGGAGATCTACCCAGCAGTGCATGATCCTGATGGCTGAGACGTACCCACCCAGGCAGGAGGTGCGCAGGACAGGCATGCCAAAAGTGGACAAAGCAATTCAGGTGAGGCTGGGCAAACCACAAACCCGTCCCCTACAAATGTCCCACAATCCCAGGGGTGTATCTGGGCCAAGGGCTTGGCCTTGGGATGGCTCTGGCAGCTGCTGAGGCCTCATGTTTCTTTCTCTGGGATTTGATGCTATGGCTGTTTCCCACTTCAGACCCCCCGGTCCTTTGATGCATCACTCAACAAACGGCGCACTCGGCTCAAGAAGAAAATTAAAAGCAAAGACATGAGCAGCAACCAAGATCAACTGCAAGCCTCAAGGGACAGCAATGCCATGGAGATCTTTCCCCAGGCAGAGGGGCACAGGACTCCCAGCCCCCCCGAGGTCACACCCCAGCACAGGTAATACAGCCTAGCTCTGCCCCTTGGGTGACCCAGGATCCCAAGGCTCAGGGACAGGAGCTCAATATGGGCATCTCCATCTGTAGGAGGAGCAAGGTCTCATCCAACACATGCATGAACGCTGATGAGGAAGAATGGGAGGACCAGGCTGTGCTGGAGGTGGAAGGTAACCCCTGGTTCTCCTCACTCAGTTCAGCCAGATGCCAGGGAAGTGGTGGAGCCACTGTCCTGGAGGCATCCAAGGAATGTGTGGATGTGGCACTTAGGGACATGGTTAGTGGGCATGGTGTTGATGGGTTGACTGTAGGACTTGATGATCTTAGAGGTCTTTTCCAACCTTAATGATTCTGTGATTTTATAACTGTTGGTTTCAGTGTGCCCCTCTGAAATGAACCCAGCATTGTTTAGAAACAAGATTCAGGGCTGTTTCAAATGGAAGAACTTAATGCTGGTGTTCATCCACCCTCACTTCTCCTTCACCCACAGGGTATGAGGCTGATGTTCACAGCCCAGGCACTGTCATGGGAGACAGCCAGGGGATCTGCCCTGCAGAGGAGGAGATGCAGAAGGGGCTGAAACACACTCAGGCTCACGGTGAGCATGGAGGCACTGCCCTAACCCAGACACACACGTGCATCAGCCTTGCCTTCCTTCTCTGATGTGTTTTAGGACACATGGAACACACGGTATCTCCCAGAGGTGAAGCTCTGGGCCCCTCAGCCTCCACGCTGTCTGCAGGCTCAGGCAGCTGTTCCACATCATCTTCATCTTGATCACAGTTTCAAAATCTTCAGCTTTAAATTTACAGTAGAAATTAGATACATATTTACAATGCTAATATTTGTCATTTGCCTCCAGGAGGTGTATCCAGGTCTGTACCCAGGCGATCCTGGCAGCCTGGTGTTGTCCTATGGGTGTAACAAAAATGTGACCATGTTACTCTGTGGCCACATCCACCAGCACCCACTTCTCCTTTGGCCCCAAGTTCCAGTAGCCACGAGATGCTCCTCAGCTGCTGCTCCAGGCTGCAGCTCTCTGTTGTATCACCTGCAGGAAGGTGCTTTCGTGAATCCTCCAACCCCAAACTTCTCTTTCCTTTCCAGAAGGCAGAGAGGTGAAACCAAGCCTGCTTCTGGAGGCTGACGGAAGCTCTCACAAGGAAGGTACACAGCAGAGAGCAGCCACCACCCACCCTGCGTGCCACAGCCAGGATCCCACACAGGGATGCACTGGGCTGAGCCCCTGTAATGCAGAAAATCTCAATTTCTCATTGAGCTGTGGCACGAGACAAGACCACGTTTAGCTAATCTCCCTGCTCTTTAATGCCAAAGAGAACGGCTGCTGGCAGGATAGGGCCTAGCACCATGAGGACCAGCTGCTGTGACCCCAAAAACAGGGCCATGTGGCTGTGCTGGGTGCTCCTGGAGAAGGAGTGGGACTGGAGGTTGCTCACGGTTCCTCAGGAGAAGCCATTTCCGATGTGATAACAACTCCAACCCCGCTGAACCTGCACATTTGGGCTGTGTGGAGGCTGTTGGTGTTGGAGACCACTAGATGGGGATCTCTGTACACACTCAGGCAGACGCTTCCCACTTCTTAACGCTCATCATTGGAGCAAGCAGAAGCGTGTTGTCTTTTAATAAACCTAAAAATGAGCAAAGCTCCTTCTGATGCAGCTAGTCTAAGGTGTATCCTGTCCCATTCACAACCCAGAAGTGTGTTTTCCAGGTCTAGGAAGTTTCTGAAATGAAAAACATTTCCCTGTTGGTTGCAGGAAAGCAGGTCCATGTAGGAGAGCTGAAGCCTCACCCAGCCCCTATGGAAATGCGTTTACTGGACGTTGATCACCAGCAGGCGCTGGGGGGTGTGCGTGTGGATGGTGAGTGTGTCGGCACTTCGGGGTGTTCAGGATTTGGATTGTTTTCCAGGCAGAAAGCTTCAGAATTGGAGATAAAGAGGAGAGAGGAATTGACTTTTATAGTCAGCATACTGACATTTCCCAAAGCACAAAATAATAGAACAGTGCAGCTTGGAAGGCACCTTGGGAAGTCTCTAGTGCCATCTCCTGCTCCAAGCTGGGTCAGCTGTGTGATCAGACCAGGTTGCTCTGGGATTTATCCTTTACAGTATCTCCAGGACTGCAATGAGTCAGGGTTAGCTTGAAATGAGAATGCTGTGCTCTGGGGAAGCCTGGATCTCCAACCTAGATGACTATCTGGCCAAAAATCTGGAAATCTGTTTTGGGGCAAGACGCTCTAAAATCACCAAACCCTTTGTGGATGTGAGTGTTCTCAGTGTCGTCAACTTCCTTTTTTGTAGAAAAACTTAAAGCAACAGCCAAGAGCCTCCCTGAAAGCTCTTGTCTGTCTGTCAGCCCCTCCTTCCTCAGGAGTATTTCCCCTTTAGCCGTGCTCCATCTCCCCTTATGCCCCAGGGGATGCAGCCAGCAGTCAGGACCCCATCTCCGGTGTGGGCACTGGTGAGGTCATCTCAGCCACAGAGGAGCTGCAGCAGATCATCAGACACACTGCAGGTGGGAACTGGTATCCTTCCTTGTTTTCTGCTTCTGCACAGCCCCTGCAGCCAGAAAACCAGACACCCAGGGAGGCTGCTGGGTGCCTGCAGATGGCCATGGTATAGGATATGCCTTGCACGCAGCAGAGGTGAAATTCTCCACGCTTCCCTTTAATCTTGTGTTAAATTTTTGCTTTGCATGATTTGGCACGAGTGGCTCTGTGTGTCCTGGCATGACACAGACACCATTCCTCAGTGTATCAAAGGAAATGGGGTTTTGTGTCTAGAGAGAGTTACGTACAGTGTAGTGCGTGGAGGGAATCATTGGGTGATGAATGGCCATGGAGAGGGAATTTAATCTTTCTTGGCCTCAGCATCTCACCCTGCCTGGAGGGGAGGGAGTTTCATTGCATTATTGTGGCTAAGGTCCTTTAGATCCTCAGATGGAAAGGGTAGGTGAAAGGCAAAGGAGTCTCTATTATTATTATTAATAATAATAATAATAACCTTTATTTTTTTGCCAAGTCTCTCTCCGCTGGCTGCCAGCATGGAGAGGAGGTTTCTAACACTTTCTTGTTACAGAGGACACAGATTTCAGGGATAGTCAGGGCTCTGACCCTGCAGAGGAGCTGGATCCTGCTGTGAATGGTGAGGATCTCTGCCTTTCCTTCACTGCCACTGTCATTGCTCAGACATCCCCATAGAGCCAGTCACTGCTCCATTTAAACATTGCCCAGCATCTCTTGTAGGAGGTGAGGAAAACATTCAAGACCTTGATTTCATCCTGGACCCCACAGACAGCAAGGTTCACCTGAGGAGCCGGATGCATGAAGCCTTGAGACACATGGAAGGTAAGAGCAAGCTTTTGATGTCCTTTTCCTTTGCAGGAAGCCTAAAAATCTCTAGAAACCAACAGCTGAGTTTAAAGCACTCTGCATACATTCACTGGTGCTTATCAAGCAATGAGGATGTGATGTTAATGCAAGACATACAAGACAATTGATTGTATTACAATAATACAGAGTTCCTACTCTTGTGAAATACACAATGGAGAAAAGTCTGTTAGAGAGGGATGTGACTGCTCCTCTACCACTACCATCCTGCTGCCCTCTTCCCAGTGCTTAACCCTCACCAAGAACTCTATCATGCCTTCATTTAGAAGCAACAAATCTCCAACCAACATTATAGGAAAGCCCCTGGCTCATGCAGCAGCTGCCAGTGGTCCAGCACCTGTGCTCTGATGCCCATAATTTCCACCAATTTATTCTTGTTGCTGTTATAGCCGTCTGTTACTTCCACTCTCCTCTCCCCAGGTGCTGTGAACATGAATCTGAGTAAATCCATGAAGGCGGTGAGGAAGGTCCAGCAAACACCCATGGGAGAAGGTGAGCAAGATCCCCATAACAGAATCTGCTGCCACATAACAACAAACAGGATCAGACAAGAGTCCTTCAAAAGAAAACTCTGTGGCCACATGTTTTAATGAGCTGCAAATCTGCTGGTAACAAAGCTGTACAGGGAGAGGCAGACAGACCAGCAGCTGCAGTGCATTTCCAATGGCATGCTGCTGCCCACAGCAAAGTCAGTGTTGTAACTCCTGAGCCACAAAGGTGGGAAAGCACAGATGTAGAGTGGGCTGCAAAGATTTACCTGACACTCTGGCCTCTGTTCCCCTTCTTGCTGCAACTCTCCTGTGCTGCACAGGCCTGGTTTATCTGTGAGCCACCTCATACGCTCTGCTTCCCCCTCCTAGCAGTGATGGCAGGGCTTTTCTCCTCCCTGTGAGCAGGCAAGATTAATTTCACTAATGTGCTGAAAAGATTTTAAATTCTCTGGAGGACAGCTGGAGAAAGGCAAATGATATTAATAACATGGTTCTTATTTAACTCATCTCCCTCCATGCCCTGGGTGTGCACGGAAGGCAGCGGCACCTTCCTAATATGATTAAGATGGTGTTAAAAATATCGGTTTCTAACACTTTCTTGTTACAGAGGACACAGATTTCAGGGATAGTCAGGGCTCTGACCCTGCAGAGGAGCTGGATCCTGCTGTGAATGGTGAGGATCTCTGCCTTTCCTTCACTGCCACTGTCATGGCAGTGACAGTGCTCAAGGAGGCTTTTTTTGGTTTGTTTTCATAGAGGACAATGATGATGTCAGTCGTGAGGGTTCCGTCCTGGCTGCCCTGAGTGTCCACTCAATCCCGGAGGAGCCGGAAGAGGCACAAGTGGATGGTCAGTGAATCAGAAATACTGGTGACAGTTCCCCTCTGTGACTTGTCAGCCTCTGGCTACCATGAAGCACGATGTACAAGAGGCAGAGAGAGGAAAAAAAGATAAAATAGCTTCTACAGGTGTGGGGAGACACCAAGTTGTCCCACACAGTGACTGCTCTGAAGGGAAAGGCAAGGGGATGTAGGGGGTATAAGTCGTGCTCTGTACCCACTGTGGTGGGATAGGAAATCAAAGACTTAAGTGTCAAGAAGAAAGAATTCAGGTTAGGGAAGGTGTTGCAGCAGGGAACAGGGGATGCTGGAAGACATAGGATTTCCCTTGCTGGGTGTTCTGCTGCCCATGGCCAGAAGGACACAGTGAGTTAGTGCTGCCGTAGCACAAAACAGGGAGAAGTGTCATCATGGGGTCCTTCCAGCTCTCCTTGGGATGTTGAAGATGTGAATGCTGGTGAGAGGGAAGCCCATGAAACTCTGTTTATTTGTGTCTTTCCACATCCAGAGAAAGCTGCTCTTGCTCCTGGCCATGTTCCCCAAACCTGTGTAGCAACAGAGCTTCCACCAAAGAAGAAGGTGTTAAATCCCCTCGAAACAGATACAGCCAGGTGAGCATGAAGGTGGAAACAGGGAATATGCTGTTGCTTGTTGTACAATTGTGCTTCAGCTGCCACTCTGTCCATCTCTCTTTGTCATTCTGTGCATGGCAGTGAACTCACAGAGACCCCTCAGACAAGAGTTGAGAGTGAAGCAGTGCAGAACATGACAAAGAAACAGCAGAAAGGTAATGTTACCTCATTATGTGCTCCCACCAGGAGACATGTTGCCAGCACCAACAGGAGTGGTTGGACCTTTAAATGGGTCCTGCAGCACTGCATGATCTTCCTTACACAATAACCACACTGTGGGGTGCACAAAGGAAGGGACAATCCTGTGTCCCTCGGATGTGGGAGCCCAGCAGCTGTGGATTGATGCAGAAAACCATCAATACACTTTCTGGAAGAGGGACAGCTGAATCTCAAGAGAACAGAGCTGGAACTAAACCAAGCACCTCACCCAGCCCCACACATTAAATACCACCTTACCCTTCCTCTCCCCAGATTCCCCAGCTCTCCTACACTGTCAGCAGCCATTTAGAGGTAGATGCATTGGCACTGGCAGCAAGGAACAACCTGTTCAAATCCCTGTTGAATATAGTTCATTGTATTGTTCAAAGAACATAAGACAGGTAGAGCCTTCCCCCCCAACCCTGTTTAACCTGCTATCCTCTCCCTGCCTGCCTGCAGCATTCTCCGATGCTTTCAACTTCTTCCCCAAAGACCTGGATGGCAATATTAACCTTCAGAACCTGGAGGTGCTTGCTAAGCAGGTGGGAATTAGCTTTGATGGGCAAGAGGCACACAAGAAGCTGGTGTGTGCAGATGCTGATGGTGAGTGCATCAGAACATTCATGGATTGTACTGTGCATGTAAAGTGGCCCCTCTCCCTGTGCCTTGCCATTCCTGGGCATTGCTGTACTGAAATGTACTTTAAGGCAGAGGGCTGTGCTGGAGTTGTTGTGCTTTAGCACTCACTAGTGACTCTATCCTTCATGAATGTGTGTTGCACTGCTGTTACAGACTCCCTCATGCATGCTCCACAGCCCTGTGACATGTGAAAGCTTTAAAAGCTTTTAGTCCTGCCCTTAGTTTTTAGTAAGCAAGTCGTTCTGCAGTGCCAGCTCTGAGCTGCTCACCCTAACTTTTCATTCTGGCAAAAATCTGCTTTGCTAACATAGATGCCACTTGTTTGCAGGAGACAAAGCAATGAATTTCTCCGACTTTCTGACCTTCATTACTGACAAGAATTGTTTTATCCAGACAATATGTAAGTAAGAAATACCCTACCTAGGTACATGTTGCTGCTCTCCAGCAAAACTCTCACTTATCCAGAGATACCTGAATTACCTCATTCTAATTGGTACTGAGCAAGAAATCAGCACTGTGGCCAGCATTACGGCTAATGAAAAGCCACAAGAACTCATCCTCCCTGCTGGACATCCAACCAGCACTTAGCAGAAAATGGGGATGGATCCCCACTGAGCAGATCTTGCTGGGGTCTGCTGGGGTCTCCGCTCCCCCTGAAGGTAAGGCAAGGCTCAGCTGTGGCTCTGACTGCTCTCCTCCTCTCCAGTCCCTGACAAAAACGACTCAGGCAACTTCGATCATGTCGATGCCAGAGGAATCCTCCTCCTCAAAGTCTTGCTGAAGCTGGTGGAGTTGGAAGCTCTGCCCCAGAGAACTCTATTTCAGATTTCCAGGTGAGCTTCCTTAGTGTTGTAAGTCAGAGAAGGAAGTTCTCCCTTTCATTGTGATATTTACGTGCTATCTAATTAGATAAACAGATAACAGGGGCCCAAGACTACATTTCCTGAACTGCTCCATGTCTAGTTGGACATCCAAAAGCACCTGCATAGCTTTGCTACCTACCTTACAAAGGTGGTGTTGTAAATACCATTTAAATATCTTACCAGGTATGTCAGTGTGCAGCATCCCATGCTGAGCAGGCCTTGGGCTGTGCTTCACTGGTCAACGGTGCCCTCTTTTGTCTTCTAGTTACTACCAGCAGAAGTTTAGGGACTGCACTAGTGAGAAAGCCTGGACACATGCTGATTTCTCCGTGAGTCACAAAAAGAGCAACAAAAACAGGAAAGTTCTGGTTTATCCTTTGTCTTCCTTTCTAAGTGCTGCCCGCATCTCACTGATGAAGGAAAGAGAGGCAACAGTTTATTTGGAATAACTCAGAGGTAAGGCTTGCATGCTGTCATTCAGCCCTATTCAGTTCTATATTAGCAAAAGTTTCATAGAATCATTAAGGTTGGAAAAGACCTCTAAGATCACCAAGTTCAGCTGTCAATTCATCCCCACTATGCCCACCAACCATGTCCCTCAGTGTCACATCTCCACGGTTCTTGAACACCTCCAGGTGTTACATATTGTTGTTACCTAGGAGAGGAAGCAGATCCCCACCTCACTGCATCCCTCTTTCTAGTAGTTGCAAACTGATAAGGCTTCTTCAGGCTCAACAGTCCCAGTTCCCTCAGCTGCTCCCCATAAGATTTGTGCTCACGCACCTCACAGCTCCGCTGCCCTTCTCTGCACACACTCCAGGGCCTCAATGTCTTTCTTGTAGTGAGGGGCCCAGAACTGAACACAGCAGTGAGATGTGGCCTCACCAGAGCTGATTACAGAAGAACAATCATCTCCTGCTCTGCTGGCTGTGCTATTACTGATACAAGCCAGTATGCTGTTGGCCTTCTTGGCCACCAAGACACACTGCTGGCTCATGTGCAGCCAGCTGTGAACTAATGCCTCAAAATCTTTCCTCCTTGCAGCTTTACAGCCACTGAGCCCCAAGCCTATAGTACTGCATGGGGTTGTCATGAGCAAAGTGCAGGACCTGGCACTTGATCTCTGAAGCTCATCCCAGTGGCCTCAGCCCAGAAATCCAGCCTGCCCACATCCCTCTGCAGGGCCTTCCTACCCTCAACACTTCCTCCCAATTGGATGTTATCTGAAAGCTTACTGAAGGTGCACTCAATCCCCTCATCTGGATTGTCAATAAATTTATTAATAGGGCTGGCACCAAGACTCCATGTCTCCTAAAGCCTAGGCAGTAATTTCTAAGAGGATCACAGAAGACAGCTGGAGCAAACCTTAGGAGTCCATCCATCCAGTAAGACTCACAGGGAAAGATGCAAAGTCAAACGCTTGGTATTCTGCTCTAGAGTCTCCTAGGGAGAAAGGAATTGTCCCCCAGAGGCATTTCTGGTGGTTGACTAGATTCGTGTTTCAGAAGTGTGAGGAATCTGGGACCTACCTAGCCCTTCCCTGGTCAGAGGAGCAAAACCAAGGGGCATCTGGCTGTGGCTACACTGTCAGTGACTCTTGTTCTTATTTTCCGTTACCAGAAAAAGCGTCCAATTCAGAGAGCCCCTATGCTCAGGTACCTGTCTTCCCACTGATTTCTAAACAAGATGCAAAGACACTGGTGAAGCCAAAAAAAGACATGCAAAAGCAGACAAAGCAGAGAAAGAAAGAGCTGGTACCTTCAAAGGAGACCCACTTCAGCTGTAAGAAAAAACAGGTTCAGAAGGTGAGAGACATGGGTGGTGCTTCAGCTACACGCAAGAGTACCAAAGGAAGCCTGAGGAGAAGCCTTAAAACCTATGTTTTATTTGATCAGACTGCAGCCAAGGCTTCTGCTCAGAGCAGCAAGAAGAAATGCTCCCCTGCCATCAACTCAGAGCACCCAAACAAACGACGTCACCCACCAACAGCCAGCAAGGGCAAGGCACAACCATGTGTGAGTGTGAAGTCCAGCCCCGTGCTCTGCGCTCACTCACTTCACATTTCCTCACCCTTCTCTGCTGTGGCATTCAGTTACACCCTGGTAGCAAAGATATGGAAATAGATCGTAGAAATATGGAATGATACTTGGTAGCAACACTTAGGTAGAGTAGCAAGGAGGCGGGGACTGCAGATAGTATATAACTCAGAGCAGGGTGTTACCTTGGTAATGTGCGTAAAGCAGTTACTCCAGAATTGGACTCATGTAACCTATATACTAATAGACTGGCGAACACTTTAACTAGAAGTGGGTAGTAACAAGCAATTTTGTCCTAAGCACAAGGAAAAATGAAACCAGAGGTATAGTAATAGCCTGGTTTATTATAGTTAATCATCAGTGTGAATTAGTTACAACCTGCCTCCACTGCATTCTGGCATGGCACTGAAGTGCTTTCTAGCCTTGTACGCACATCTGTGCCATATGCCTGCGGTGGGGGCTGAGCTGCATAGTTCCTGCATTGGATTCTGCCCTCTAAATTCCTTTCCCCTCCATCAGGATGCACAGCTGGCCCAACGCTACAGGCGCAACCTGGCTCTCCGCAAGCAGGCCAGCCTGCTCAAGCTGTGGCAGAAGATCAATGGGGCTCAGATCGGACAGCAGACAGGCAGCAAGCGCTTCCACTACATTTTCTCCACGTACTCCTGGTCCTGGAACGCGTGCAGAGAGCTGGTGACAGCTGAGGAGCTGCAGGCACAGGATGGCCGGCATTGCTGCTTCCCGCCAGCCGCCAGGCAGCCACCGTGGAAGAAGTGGCTGTTTTAGGGCACTGGAGGCTGGTTTGGATCGGACTTGCTGTCACCCTTCCTCCTGGCATTCAAAATGTGAAATAAAAGCTGGGAAAGGTGGGATTATTGTTGTTATCCTGTCCAGCACAGAGAGCTAGCTGGCCAAGGGAAGGGACTGCACTGTTCTGCAGCACAGCCTCACAATGAGCACCGGGCATAGGTTGCACACTTCACTTTAAGGACTCTTAAGGAGTCCGGAGGAGGACTTTAGAGACACGAAGGGGCTCCGCGACAGCGACGGAGCCCGAGGGAACGGCACGAAGCTGTCAGGGGAGGGGAGCGGCTGGGGGAGAGGGAGGGCTCAGTCCCAGAGGGCTGTGGGCGCGGCCCCGACCCGCTGGAGCTCAGGGAGTGATGGAACACCGCTCTCAGCCACTGGGTTCGGGTAGTCGGACACCGATCTTCACGGGTGCCTCTCAGTGTAGAACCCGCGATTCTACAGCGCGGATGGAAACACCTCCTCTCAGCCCTCCCGGCTTCCCGCCGCTGCCGCCCCACGTGACACTCCCTTCCCGCCCAGTCTCCTCTCGGGTCGGACTCGGGGTGGGACTTCCGCTTCCGGCGGCACCCTATCCGTCATGGCGGCGCCCAGCGAGGCGCCGGAGCGGCGGCGGCCCTTCGGGAGGCGCTTCCTCACCGACCCCGCCCGCCTCTTCCAGCATAACGCCTGGTGAGGGCGGTCGCGGCCTCCCCGTCCCCGCGGGGTCCTCTCGTTCGCTTCCCTGCCCGCCCCGTGGTGCCTCTCTGCGTTCCACAGGGCTTGGTGCGCTGTCCGCGGCCTGCGCTCCCCAAGTATCGCTCCTTGCCGGCTCCTCTCCTCGGCTTAAGAATTGTTCTTCTCTTTCCGCGCCGAGCGGTCGGGACGGCCGTGAGGGTGGGGCTGTGAGGGGGTGGGAGTGCCCGGAGATGAGGAGGGGCCCGGCCCTGGGTAGCGCTCATCCCTTTGGTCCCGAGCTTGACTTGGTGGAGGCGGTCAGGATCCAGCAGGCGCCCTCCGTACGTCGGGATTCTCCTCATTGCTGCACTGCTTCGAGGCAATCGTTGCCCCATCCTTGGAGGCGTTCAAGGCCAGGTTGGATGGGGCCCTGGGCAGTCTGGTCTGGTATTAAATGTGAAGGTTGGTGGCCCTGCATGTGGCTGGGGGTTGGAGATTCATGATCCTTGAGGTCGTTTCCAACCCTGGCCATTTTGTGATTCTGTTCTGTTGCTGTAGCTCTCAAAGGCTTACAACTCTTTAAGATCTGCATGCACGTGCAGCTAACGTATAAACTGAATGAAGATAAATTCACCCATTCACTGCCATGTGATGCTGTGAGGTCATGCCAGGTGTTAGGGTGGAGCAGGTGTTCGCTTGGAGTAAGCTGTATTTTTGAGAGATATAGGTGCCCAAATTCTTGAATTTCCTGGGAACTGAAGGTATTTTGCACTTCTAAAGTAAATATATCTACCTCAGGTCTCTGGTTGCTGTGTACTGTTGAAAATTGGCTGTGCTTAAGCTGTAATAAAGCAATGTGTGCATGCATCAGCTTGTCATTCATTTTGGGACTTACAGAGTGTCCTCAATGGTATTTCCCTGCAGAAATTCCTAATAATCAGACACAAAACTTAAGGCTTTGTTTTGCTAATTAACATCAAAAGGCCAGTTCTTTCTGAGGCCAGAGTAGTTCTTGATCCTTGTATTCTGTTTTTCATTCACTTGTTTTAAAGAAAAAAAAAAAAAAGTCAGGTGAATCATCTTAATGACTGCGCAACTTGGAATGCAAGTTTAAGTTATTAATAGGTTCTTAATGCTTATTTTTTGTGTAATTGGATTTAATATAATCACCTTCCAAATAACCCTAGCTGCTCTTTTCTTTTAACCTGAAAATAAGAGTGTAATTTTTGAAGATGGTTAAATGAAATGCACATTTTGCTGACCTGCTTGAGTAAAAGTAGTTGCCTGCATGGGATCAGTGTTTTATTCTCCATATGGGAAAGGCAGCTCCTCTCCAAAGAGGCCTATTTGTACTGAGTGGTTTTGCAGTAAGGATTTAGTTCTCCTAAACTTAGCTGACCATCAAACAGGTAAAATGGTTAGAGAACAGATTTGGTGTCTCTTCGGATCCCTTCCTGTTTTGCCTTTTTAATGCTGCAAGTGCAGCTCGTTCCGAACTGGCAGCTGTCCTCCCGTCTGGTAACTGTTACATTGCTGGAGTTGGAGATGGCAGAAAAGCCCCACTGCTGTCCATTTGGAGAGCTATCTAAAACTCTTCTTCTCTGTCTTTGCCTCACAACTCCCAGCTGAGAAGTTCGCTTTGATTTTTACAACAGGGATAATGTGGAATGGTCAGAAGAGCAGGAAGCCTCTGCCAGGAGTAAAGTTCAAGAGAACAGCTCACAGCTATTGCCACAAGATAAACAAGGTACTTTTAGATGTTACTGTAATGTGTACGTCTTGACTTGTGTGCACAGCAGCAGAAGAGTCTGGTCAGAGTTATGTTTGCATCTTCATTTATTCATCTTTTCCTCCACTGTCTTCAGAATACATTATCTAGCACCTAGCAGGGGAAGAATGACAGAGGAGGAATCTTTCTGTCCTGAGTTTACCTTTTTGTGATTGTTCCACCTTCTGTCGAGGATCGTTCCACAGGAGTAAAGTGACTCCTTTGGTTGAGAGGAGTCATCTTGGCTTGAGATTCTTTGTTTATGTTGCGTACACTGAAGCACTTGTTACTGTTTCCTGTCAACAAACTTCTTTCAGTACAGAGCAACAGCTTCAGTTAGTGTTTCACTGTTCAAAGCTTAACATACAACAGTTAATCTTTTGTTTGTTTGCATGCTGCAAGCACTTTCTCTTTTAAGAGGATCTAATAAAGTAGTATTTGTATACAGCTCTACCAAGTTCACAAACAGCACGGTAATGATTAATTCTGAAGTGAAGGAAAATGATTTTATCCTGATTGGAGTGTTAATCATCAGAAGTTACTTGGTAGTGAAGTTACTTGCTTGAAGCAGTTGTGGGGTTGGTTAATTTTACATCTTTCCTCCACGCAGGTTAGATACATCAGGTCCTTCAGATGATGGTGAAATGATATCCTGTTCTTCAGTATGAAAAGATGCTTGTTTAATGATAATCTTGTTATATTCTGCTGAGCTCTGGGATGGATCCACTCCTTTTGTTCACATTAAATTGACTGTGCCATCTGTAAGGCGATGCTGAACACTACTGGAGCTGTTCAAGACACTTCCCATATAGCTTCCAGTTGTGTTCACAATAGCAAACTTAATTATACCAGGGAGCACTCCTCCTCATTTCTTGGATTCCCAGAAGTATCCAGCCGTTTCTATTGTGATAACCATTGTGTTGAGTTCATTTTAAAATCTGGTTAACATTAAAGGGTGCTTTCTGTCATGCTTTGAGAACATATATACAAATATGAAATTGTGGAGAAATTTGATGTTAGAGCAGTTTGTCAGGTCTTTATGATGTATTTCCCAGGCTGAACAATGGGGGCCAGTCAAATTTTGATGGCTGCTATTCAGTAGGAAGCATGTGGAGACAATGGGAAGGCTGAAACATAGGGAAGTCAACTCAGCCAAACGTGCCTGAGGGGTCTGGTATTTTGAGAATCAGAAATGTCCAAGCAGGAGAACAAAGACAGGCTATTGGTCATTATGGCTGTATTATTCTTTGGACGACTTGAGCTGTCAGAATTTATTCTGAAGGAGAGAAGTTCTGCTTGCTCTGTAGAAGGTGTATCTGCTGTCTGGGAGCAGGGAAAGAAGAGGAAGCGTTGCTTGGTTTTCTTTTGAAGCTCCATAATTAGCCTCCGTGCGAATCAGAGGATCTGTAATTCTCTTCCTGACTTTTGAAAACAGTTTATTTTGTTTACAAATCTTCTGCAATGTAAAAGGGTGAGTATGGGCTTGACTTCGGGGCTGTCCTTACACAACTGTGCAGAAAGGTCAGAAGTCCTTATCGAGTCTCTGGAGGAATCAGACTTGCATGCCAGTGTCCTTATGAGCTAATACTACAAAAAGGATCTGGGAGCAAATATGTTGCAAACTGTTCTGGTGTGAGTTGTGCAGGAATTCAGACTGAAATGTTAATATGGTCATTTTTAATCCTGTTTCTTGCATAATCAGCTGGACCTTGAGTTCTTGTATTCATTTTGCTACCGATCCTCAATTCCAGTGCTTTGCAAATGAACTTCAAATAAAGCTTCCACACATGTTAGGTGGAAGATAGCAGCTCTTCAATAGCATCCAACAGAATTTCACAATAATTTAACATAGGATGAGGAAAAAATCTGGATAATCTGAAGTGACTGGCTTGGAATATTGCCACAGTTTCTGAGGTAAACATCCTGTTTTCATCAGAGCCTGTCACGGCATCTTCAGGGATCAGCAGGAGTCAGGACTTCATCTCTTTGTTAGCTGAAAGGGTTTCCAACCCCAGCAGCCTCGTGTATCCCTTCTCCCAAAGGAAGAAGTGACAGTTCAGGAGGGAGTGCACCAGAGACTGAATCAATAACCCTCATTCCTCTGTCATTAGTAGTCACTGACTGCCTTCTCTGCAAATAATAATCAGACCTGACCCCACTTACTTTGAGGTACAGTGAGATCATGACACAAACTTATGCTTTACAGTTTTGTTCAGGTTGTTGTTTAAGGACAAAGCTGCTTAAAAGGAGAAAATGCTCATAGTCAAGGTGAAGAGATTATTTTTATAAATAGCTCTTTGTACTGCAGGGATAATTACATAGATGACTCTAATTTCGTTAGATCATGGCTTCATAAGTGTTCTGATTGTCTGTAATATTTATCTTGCTCCTGGATTGTGTTTAGTAGGTGTGAAAATAATACTGCTCGCTGTTTGAAGTTAATTCTTACCCATTTTGGTCTATCCACCTTGGCTCTGTGCTGTTACTTTAGTGGTAGTGGTCACTTATTTGATTCCTCTCATTTGCTGTAATTTCACGTGATGCTCTAACCTGC